AGCGGTGATTTAAAAGACCCAGGGCTCCCTACAGCAGCTGGAGCACCGGGCCCTTTAAATCACCACCCGGGAAGCCGGTCCAGTCCGGCACAGCGTACCGGCTCTTGCCAGTACGCCATACTGGACCAAACCTGATATAACACGGTCTCACCTATAAGGCGGTGAGATTTTTGGGCTCCCGAGGACCGCGTTATATTGGGGTAGAGGTGTAACTGGGTAGTGTACTTAGGATTTCTGCAAGGTTATTTTGGAGCAGGAACGTGTTTGCCCGAAACATCTTGGGGGCTCAGCTACTACCCTGATGCGGCCATATAAGTGACCAACAGATTTTTTTAGGTTAAAATGCCATCTGTTTTCACATCTCACTCTAGAGCCATGATGGATCCCTGGCTGCCTTCTGGCCCTACACGCAGGGCCAGCTCCAGGCACCAGCCCAGCAAGCAGGTGCTTGGGGCGGCCAAGGGGAAGGGACGGCAAGTCGGGCTCTTTGGCAGCGGGTCCCTCGATCCCTCTCAGAGGGAAGGACCTGCCGCCGAATTGCCGCCGAAGAAGAAAGCGACGCGGTAGAGTTGCCGCCGATCGCGGCTTTTTTTTCTTTTCTTCTTTTTTCCGCTGCTTGGGGCAGCAAAAACCCTGGAGCCGGCCCTGCCTACACGTCTGTGTACCCAGAAGAGAAATCCTGAGTATATGCATTGGTGTGATGAGCATTGGTGTGATGAGCATTTGTCTGTCAGTACGTTCTGCATACATTAAATCTTTGGTCAGATCACATTGCACCAGTAAAGGGCAAAGAATAGATTCTTGTTTATGCTTCAACAACAGAAAGAGTAGCCTGGTCTACATCTGGAAGTTGCACCAGTATAATTTAGCTCAGTTAAGGGTGAGATTTTTTTTTACAGAAGTATTTATATTGGTATATCCCATATGCCGGATGCAGTCGTACTGGTATAAAGGTCCTTTACACTGGTAGAACGTATTCTCCTTCCACCATGGGATATGCTAGATCAGGGTATGACTATACTGCAAGTGTTGCAGCATAGACACTAGCTACAGCAATGGAAGGGTTTCCCATTGCTGTAGTAAATCCACTCCCTTGAAAGGCTGGAGCTAGGATGATGGACGAATTCTTCCGTCAACCTAGTGGTGTCTTAGGTTGGCTTAACTGCGTCTCTCGGGATGTGAATTTTTCGCACCCCTGAGCAGAATAACTAAGTTGATCTACGTTTTCGGTGTAGATCAGGCCTTAGTATATGCATGTACACGCTAGGGTGTTGTACCAATTTAACTCTCACAGTATAGGTAAAGCAGTACAAGTTTTAATCTGTAGACAAGCCCAGAGAGACAGAACTTCCCATGCTGTTCTATCTTATTTCCACTCCCCCGCCCCCACACACATACTTTTCAGCTCTCTATGGAGATAAAGCTGATGCTGTCATTCATTTAAAAATAGTTGGACTCCTAGTGGAATTTGCAAAACACCGTAGAATGTCAATTAAATTTGCTCCAGCAACACACAACTCCAGTCGGTTTTATGGCTAAACAAATATATTTTTACTGATCCTCGGTGCAGTTTTCCATGTTATATTGTGTTAAAGGAATGCTATCAGCTACCTCTAGATTTAGATTATGTAGATTGTTTTGCTAATAGAAAGAACCACTGATGTAAGGAGTGGTTCTGAACTGCTCCCTGTGACAAGAGTGAATGGAAAAGGTCGCTTATTGTCATCACTCTTGTCAGTCCACACAAAGGTCCAAGTTTTCAGGAGTACACTGGTCCCACGAAAATATTGGAGGAGCAAACGGTTTATCCATTAGCCCCTCTCTGCAAGCAGACTCGAGATAAAGGCGGGATTGTATGAGGACACATGGCCTGATGGATACCTCCTTAACGTCTGATAGCAGCCAAACCCCGAACTATAAAGGGTTGGAGAATTTTTCAACAAAACATTTTTCTGATGTAAAAATGAGATTTCTTTTTCCATCAAAAATTGCTCCAGTTCCCCTCCATTTTCTGAGATCCTCAATCTGAACTTGTTGCAGTTCACCTAGTGCTAGATTTATATTGCTTGCCTGCACCACGGCCGTTATTTTACTTGTGGCTTTGTTTTGTTAATTCTGTGATTTTGCTTAAACTTAAAAAACAAAAATGTTTGGACAAATAGCAGGCATAGAAGTGTTCATCCTGAAAGTGAAAGACGAATGTTTAATAAAATAATAGCATATGATACTTGGAGATTAGAGACATTATATTTGCAACATCAAATATAGTGGTGAATATAAGCACCACCATGGTAATAAATAAAAGTGAAACTCACCAGTCTATTTTAGGACCCAAGCGAGTGAAGTGGAAAACGTAAACAAGGAGTCTAAATGGTGAAATGTATAATAATTTTTTTAATAATCTAAGCAGTTTTTAGTAACAAGTAAAGGTTTTTAAATATATATATATTCACTGTTGACAGTGTATCTCTTAAAAGGCAGGTTTGACCAAACCTCTGGGATAGAAAAGACAAATAGTAAAAGAGCCCTTTGCAAATTAAATTATCGAGGATAATCCCCTATAGATTTTGTCAAAATCTCCATTAGATTTCTTTCAGAGTGGTAGCCGTGTTAGTCTGTATCAGCAAAAAGAACAGGATTACTTGTGGCAACCTTAGAGACTAACAAATTTATTTGAGCATAAGCTTTCGTGGGCTAAAACCCACTTCATCGGATGCATGCAGTGGAAAATACAGTAGGAAGATATATATACACAGAGAAAATGAAAAAATGGGTGTTGCCATACCAACTGCAATGAGAGTAATCAATCAAGGTGGGCTATTATCAACAGGAGAAAAAAAAACGTTTGTAGTGATAATCAGGATGGCCCATTAGATTTCTGTTGTCCATGCCTGCAATTTACTTTCTTTGGCCCAAATCCTGAATTCCTTACTCAAGCAAACTATGCATTAATCTTAGTGGGTATTTTGCTTGAGTAAAGACAGTGTGTAGGGTCTTCAGGATGTGGCCTCTTCTCCAGTATTGCCAACATCAGTCCTGTTCAAGAATTATTGGTGGATTATTTTTATGTGCTGTCTAGTGTTTGAGCATTTAGGGTACATATTTTCAAACTTTTCTCTGCAGCCATGACAGCTAGAAACTTAATTTAAAAATAAATAAATAGGACAGCTGAGATTCTCATGTAATCATATGACTGGAGGAACACGGGGCTTTAACAGAAAAACTACCAAATATTGTGAGATTCATGATAAAATTGCGAGAGTTGACAATGCTGCAGTACCATTGGAATCCCTGTTGTCCAATCTGTGAATTAAACTGGATAAGTGTGTAATTTACTGTTTGCAATGTATCTTTTTTTTTACTGTCTCAAAAGTCTGTAAAACTTGTGAGTACTAAACAAACAGTATTCGTGGTTTCACTACTACAGAGCTGAGTTCAGCATAGAATCTTGAAATCATTTACTCTTACTGTGATGCTTCTGGGAAATCTCTGCCATTAGTGAAACAGTACAGTCAATCGATAACAACAATTAATGGGATTGACCTACTTGTTAAATACTGGATCAGGGCCTATCTTTTTCTCTATGAAGTAAATTTATTTAGCAACCACTATATGGCCAGCAGGGATTTGGTTTGACAAAAACTTATGCTTATTAAGTTTGAACACATTAGGCTGTAGAGTACAAAAATTCTTACTCTGGTTGTCAGCCAAGTAAACATCTCAGTGAATGCTTTTTAGAAAGGAGAGGCGGGTAGTTGCAATCTTTAGTAAATACATATTAAACAAAAGCATGCAAGTAGTCCTTTTAGTGCTGACATCTTGCTCTGTGTTATGCAGTAGGCAACGTAAGGACAGTGATTGCTCTGAAGAGATTACAGTTTAAAAGAGAGATGTTTAGCTGACAGGATGCATGAAGAAATCCAGAGTGGGGAAAACCCCAAAGTCTACATCAGTTAGATGCATTCATTACATTCACGCATTGCTATGCAAAATCTGACTGTCTACAGTACATCAAATGTAATCTTTTAATAAGCAGTAGGCTGTAAACAGTAGATTTGTCCCACACAATAAATCAGTGATCTTAATACCATATGCTAGATCTCTTGCGAGCTTCATTTGTACTGGAGAATATTTTAAGATGACTAATAGCAATAAGAATGATTACTAAGGACTATTTAATTACTATATCCTCCCCATCAACCTCTTTCCTGTGTATGCTTTTAAAGCATTGCTCTCACCATAAAAAACAACTTCATATTACTGGAATAGTCCCAGAGATTCTGAAACTCCAAATGAGCCTTTTCCTTTTAAACCTATAGCTGAGTCAAACTCTGCTGTGTTCAATTCAGAGTTACTCCGCTGATGACCAGAAATCTTATGGGTGCTCCAAAAAGAAAGCATGCCATTTTTTTAATACTATTTCTGGAAGTGCCTTGTCTGTGAGACTATTGACATGTCATTGTTATCCATTGGAATTGTCTGACCTAGTCCCACTAGCAATGAGGAGTGGGGAGGAACATGGCAGTGATTACACTGTTCAGAAGGGTAGGTGATTATCTCAATACTTTTGTTAACCTAAAGCCTCTGACCATACTATCCAAACTTTTAAAAAACAGTCTGGCTAACTTTGAATAAGGAATGAGTTTCAGGGTAATGTACCAGTGTTGTCACATCAGGGGTGCAACTGTTAAATATTTGGACCAAGATTTTCAAAAGTGACCAATAATTTTTGGGTGCCCATCTTAAAATACTTTGCATGGAACTTGATTTTTAGAGTGGGTTGCTCACCATTTTCTGGAGCCCATCCACTGAACATCAGCTCCCTTTAAAGTGTTTCAGATTGTATACTCAAAAACACATGCACCCAAAATCCCTCATGATTTGAAAATCTTGGCCTTGTTTTTTTATTCTGTTGCATTAAAACTTTGCTACAAAACTTTATTGGTCAGACAGCCAATTTTATATTTTGTTCTTACAACTTTCTCTCTCTTTTCATGCAGCATCACAATGTTACATCATCTAGTATTTCTCTTAGGAATGTCACTGGTAACCAAAGAAATATTTGCATTTACAAGCTGCTATTCCGATGGCCAAATTGCCAGGTATTATTTTTGTAACCTCACCGAGGTTCCACCTGTGCCCAATAATACAGTTATACTCTGGCTAAATTTCAACAAAATCAGGCAAGTGAATGCATCCTCCTTCCCTCTGCTGGAACAGTTGCAGATTTTGGAAATTGGAACCCAGCTTGTTTCTTCTGTTACCATAGGGAAAGCAGCTTTTAGGAACCTGCCAAACCTTCGAAACTTAGATTTAGGAGACAATAAGATACTTCATCTCGATCCTGATGCTTTTGTGAAGTTGTCAAATGTACAAATACTCCGGCTATATCACAACAGTCTTGAGGAGTCCATTCTGGAAGAAGACTATCTTCGAGATATGATCTCCTTAGAATATTTGGATCTTTCTGGAAACAAGATCAAAAGCCTTCGCCCTCATCGCTTATTTTACCGTCTAAAATCCTTGCAAATTGTGGACCTGAAAAACAACCGGATACCCATCTTATGTGAAGGAAACCTTGATAGCTTCCAGGGAAAATTCTTCACGTTGTTTATTCTCAGTTTAAATAAATTATACTACCCAATTTCTATGGACTGGGCCAAGTGTGGAAATCCTTTCAAAAACATAGCCCTGGACACCCTGGATCTTGGTGGCAATGGCTGGGGTGTAGATATAATCCAACACTTCTGCACAGCTGTGAATGGGACTTCAATTGTTTTTTTGAAGCTTAGCCATCACATAATGGGTCCAGGATTTGGCTTTAAGAACTTAAAAGATCCAGACCAAGATACATTTGCAGGGCTAGCAAGAAGTGGCGTTCGCTTACTGGATATTTCACATGGTTTTATTTTCTCTCTCAATCCCTATGTATTTCAGAGCCTTGGTGATCTGGAATTGCTGAACCTTCACAACAACAAGATAAATCAGATCCAAAAACAAGCATTTTTTGGTCTGGGAAACCTAGGAACTCTCAACCTGTCATATAACATTCTGGGGGAGCTCTACGATTATACTTTTGAGGGGCTTCAGAATGTGATGCATATTGATTTGCAACAAAATCATATTGGAGTAATTGCTGGGAATTCGTTCAGAGATTTAAGAAGGTTAAAGTTGGTGGATCTCCGGGACAATGCCATTAAAACTCTCCCTTCTTTCCCAGCCATGATCACTCTTCATTTAAGTGACAATAAGCTATTATCTGTAAGAAACCAGAGTATAAATGCAACAATCCTTGTCTTGGAAAGAAACAGACTGGACAATCTGGGTGATCTTTATATTCTTTTACAAGTTCCAGATGTGAAGTATATCTTGTTAAGACAAAATCGTTTATCTTATTGTGTTAAAAGTGTTGATGTTATAGAAAATAACCAGTTAGTCTACTTGGATCTAGGAGAAAACATGTTAAAGCTTGTGTGGGACAGAGGTTTATGTTTGGATGTGTTCAGGGCACTTTCCAAACTAGAGGTGCTCCACCTGAATAACAACTACCTTACTACCCTTCCACAGGATATTTTTAGTGGTCTAACATCATTAAACAGACTTAACCTAGCCTCCAACCTGTTGTCTTATCTTTCTCCTGGTGTTTTCCCTGAGAGCCTAAAGACACTTAATATGTCTGAAAACCAACTTCTTTCACCTGCCCTTGAGCTCTTCATGACTTTGAGTATCCTGGATATAACAAATAACAGGTTTTTCTGTGATTGCAGTTTAAACACCTGGACAGCACGGTTAAATCAAACCAATGTGACCTTAGCTGGCTCAGAAAATGACACATACTGTATACTCCCACCTTTTTTAACAAGGGTTCCACTCTCTTCAGTGGCACTTGATGGCTGTAATGAAGACGAACTCCAGAAGCCTCTACAGTTCTCACTGTTCATCTTCACTTCAGTCACTCTGATAATGTTCCTAACAGCAGTCATCATTTTTAGTCACTTTCGGGGGACTTGTTTTGTCTGGTATAAGACCATCAAAGGTGCTATGCTAAAAGAACGTAAGCAAGCAATAGATACAAGTGCATATCAATATGATGCATATTTATGCTACAGCAACAGAGACTTTGAGTGGGTCCAAAATTCATTGATAAAGCACCTGGACTCTCAGTACTCTGAGAAAAACAGATTTACTTTGTGCTTTGAAGAGAGAGATTTCCTGCCTGGGGAGGAACAGATCACCAACATCCGTGATGCCATTTGGAATAGCAGGAAGACCATTTGCATTGTGACAAGGCAGTTCCTCAAGGATGGGTGGTGCGTGGAAGCCTTTAATTTTGCCCAGAGCAGATTCTTTTGTGACCTGCAAGATGTCCTCATTATGGTTGTGGTTGGGTCACTTTCTCAGTATCAGTTGATGAAATACAAACCGATTAGAGTCTTTGTGCAAAGGAGTCAGTACATGCAGTGGCCTGAAGACCATCAAGATGTAGACTGGTTTTTAAATAACCTTTCTCACCAAATTCTGAAAGAAAAAAAAGTGAAAAAGAAATCCAGTGTTATAGAAATGCAAACTGTAAGGACAATCTCGTAGTTGGGAGGGTTGTTCATGGTTCATATTATTAGTGCTATAAAACAGATTTTTGTAGTTACATTTTTGCTTGTGGCTTGACAGTTACTTAAATATTCTAAATCCATTTCCACCTGTGGCATGGCAAGAAAGAAGTATGGGCCATGCTTCAGCTTTCCCTGACAAATGGATAGAATATAAGTTCCTTGGTTTAACTTTTAATAAATATGGCGTCAGCTTTAAAGTCACCAGCAAATGGAATTAACAAAATTCAATTACTCTAGGAACTATGGCCCATATTTTCAAAAGAAGTCACCAAGTATGGGTGTCTCAAATTTTGGGGTGTTCAGATTAGGACACCATGGGTCTGATTTTCAGAGATGCTGAGTGCTCACAGGTCCCCACGACAATGGAAGGAGTGGGTACTCAGCAATTACAAAAACCAGGTGCATGTTATTGCAAGTTAGGCACCAAATTTATAGGATTCTTGAAAATTTGGGTCCATGTGCTGAAAGCCCCTACTAACCAAACTGAATGGGCACATTAACTGATGGCAGTGCCACATTAAGGTCTTGCAATGTCTAGTCCTACCATTCACCACCAGGTCCCCTACTAAGAGAATGTTTTAGTGGTCATCATCCTTGCTTGTGATGTTGCATGATCAAGATGGTGTAGGTGTGGGTGTTGGGGAAGTCATGTACATGTCGCTCACATACACCCACACACCCACTATTGGGTACCATTTTTCACAGAACATCATCATTTTGTAAAGCCACACCACATAGTATTCTTCTTTTTTTTTTTTTTTTTTTTTTAAGGGGGGGATTTACCTCTTCCTTAAAGCCAGGCTTGGAAGGATCACATTTTTATCAGTAAATGTCACTAAACATCAATTTCACCGTACATGTACAAACCAACCCAACATTTCCGTAACAATAAATGACATTTAGAAATAGACCAAGAAAGAAAAATGCTGCTTAAGAACTTAATAGAGTTTGATTTAAGGATATTTACTTTGTATATTTTGATATGTGATGTTGACAATTTGTGTTTGAACAGTTATAAAGCTTTAATTTTTTGAGATCAGTGTCTCCTGTCATTAAATAATTACTGTCTGCCCCACCCTGTTGTCTGATTACCCCCCCCCCCGCCAATTTCCCACTACTGTGGAAATTTAAATGAATAAAAATAGGAAAAAATGCTTAAAAATAAATATTGACATTGTCCATTGAAATTATAAAAACAAATTCTGCCAAGCCTACTTATAGCAGACACTGAACAAATAATATATAGTGGTAACTAAAGGCTTAGACACTACATGAAGGTCATAGTCTAACCTTGATCTTTGGGCACATATCCTGCTGCCGTCACAGGGAGAGCCTCTGTGGATTGAGGGTAGTGTGTATAACCCTACATTTATAGCCCCACTTGGCCATGCACTCATTGGATGAACTGTTCCTGGACCTTGTGCTTTCTCAGCTCTATGACCTTTTAGCACTAATTTCAAAGAGTATGAAGTGTATCACCTTTTGCCACTGTAATTGCTGTAGTATAGTTCATGTTTACTTTTACCTGTGTGATAAAACAACAAACACAGTTTGCCTAGGACTCTCAGATTTAGCTGGCACACACAAAGCCCTGGATTTTTACATACCGTAGACTTTGCATCCCCTAATATGCTATTCCTGTAACTGCCCTAAGTTACAACTGCTGCTGTTTTCATGTGAAGATTCTTCAGCTTAGCTGCATCAAGGACTGAGGTGGATAAAGACCTTAGAGAGATTTGAACTCCCAAATCACAGAACAAACTTGAAGCCAGTCTTCTGCGTAGTCTACCTTACTCTGCAGGCAACTGTAAGGGAATGCCTTGCATTGGATGGAATGTGGAGCTCCTTACTTTATCACAACACCTACTTTACTATATTTCAAACAGCAAACTACCTCATTGACATGAGCATTGTAGTCAATAGGCATTCTACAGACCTCCCTGAAGCAGGCATTCCCAGTCTGCACCCACCTTCTGAGAAGGGGAAATAAAGATCATTTCAGTATCAGCTGAGTAACTGTCTGCACATCTTTTTCCTGATCAGCTCTGAAGATGCCTCTGCTCCTGTTGAAATAGTCGGCTTGACTCACTAGGGCCTGGAACTGACAGTATGCATCTAGAAAACCAAATTTTAGAAGTGATCAGTTTGCATGATATCAGCATCATAAGAATTAAGGCTGGGGTTCTCAAATGTGTCAGAGAGAGTTAAGAGGCCCAAATCCTGTTCAAATTCAGGAGGGCTAGAGCCGCCTTTCCCATAAGAGCCTTTGAAAAATCCCAGTCTAAAATAATAATTCTTTTACAAAAATTATAACATTGTGCAACAAAAATTTGTGCTTAAATGAACAGCAGCTAACCCAAGTGAAATCTAATAGGCACCTTACGTCTGAGCTGTTTACCAATGTTTTATGTTGAGGTGAGACCAAAGCATTAAAAGGAAGCTTTGTCTTTGTGGCATGGTTATGCTTACTATCTTCTGTAGTAAATATTTCTAAGCGCTTGATTTGATTGGCCAGTCTGCAGGGTATATTACAATGGCAGTGTGACCCTGGGTGGCATTGTTATGAAAACTAAGCCTTTCTTTTGAGTGTGAAGCATTTCAAAGAGTGTGTGTGTTGTGTATTTTTGTACATTAATTCAGTTACAATGAACAAAATGAAAAATATCAGTATGGTCTGGGGAGAAACAAACCTTCCATTATTGGGTTATGAAGAGGCAGAGGATGGACTTTGCTTCATAAACTGATTGGTCAGTTAGGCCTCATCTGTCCACAGATACACATTGGTAAAGTTAATGCAGTACAATCCCGTAGTGTGATATAAAGGTGCTTGTTCCAGTACAGCTTACTCCTACATGGGAAGCACTTTTATACCAATATAACTGTGTCCACACTAGGGGCTATACTGATATAAAAGCTTTGATTTTAAAAAAAAATCACACCCCTAACTAGGGTGACCAGACAGCAAGTGTGAAAAATCGGGACAGGGGATGGGGGGGTAATAGGAGCCTGTGACGGGTTGGATCACAGAAATCCCCTTGGGAGCTGCCACCTAATGTACCAAGACTACTTCTATCCCTGTTTTCCCTGCCAGCTCAGGACTCCAGCACCCTGTCTTGCTGAGCCAGACACTCCCGTCCGCTCCAACACAGACCCAGGGTCTGAATTATTTGCCCCAAAGCTGCAGGTTTACCTGAAAACAGCTCACAGAAGTGTGCTTGTCTTTAGCACTCAGATGCCCAACTCCCAATGGGGTCTAAATCCAAATAAATCTGTTTTACCCTGTATAAAGCTTATACAGGGTAAATTCATAAATTGTTCGCCCTCTATAACACCGATAGCGAGAGATGCACAGTTGTTTGCTCCCCCAGGTATTAATACATACTCTGAGTTACTTAATAAGGAAAAAAGTGATTTTATTAAATACAGACAGTAGGATTTAAGTGGTTCCAAGTAGTAACAGACAGAACAAAGTAAGTCACCAAGCAAAATAAAATAAAATGCGCAAATCTATGTCTAATCAAACACCAAATACAGATAAGATCCCCACCAGTTCCAGAATGTTCGCTTTTACAGGCTAATCTCCTTTTAGCCTGGGTCCAGCAATCACTCACACCCCCTGTAGTTACTGTCCTTTGTTCCAGTTTCCTTCCAGTATTCTGGGGGGTGGCGACAGTAGCGTAGCTAGCGGGGTGCAGGGGAAGCAGCTGCTTCCCCGCAGCACATTTTCTAAAAGCGGCGCCTTAGTTAGTAACGGCTTGTTGTGCTCGCTGCAGGCTGCCTGTGGCTGCCTCCGTCCGTCTCTCTTCCCAAGTCCAGGCTGGTGCAGGGAGACGAAGGGGTCACAGGGAACCCGCAGCCCTGGGGGGAACGATCAGCTGCTGCCTGAAGTGCGCCCGGGCAGGCCACTTCACCACCATTGGCGGCCTCTACTGGCCCCAGGCTGCGCTGGCCGGGGGCGCCATTCGCCTCCCCGTCCCCCGCCCCGACTGTTGGGAAGTGGCACCGGCGGCCCCGCACTCTGAGCGGGATCCACGCGCCGGCCTCGTACCAGACCCCGCCACTGCTGGTAGCACGAAGAAGGTTCCTCACGTCCCGCCCCGGGACGTGACACGGTGAGGGGCGCCCGGCCCGGCCCAGCCCGCAGCTCTCCTGGCATCTCTCGCCCCGCTGGGCACTAGGGGTCGCTGTGCTGTGGCTCGCCGTGGCCGCGGGTCAGAGCGATTCCCCGGCGGCTCCTCCTCCCGCCCGGCGGCTTCCCAGGCTCCTGTCCGGGTAAACAGCAAAGGCTGCGGAGGAAGGAGGCGGAGAGCCTGACAACATGGGAAATCACCTACAGCTCCTACCCGGTAGTGGCCGCTGCCGCCGCCCCGGCTCGGCTCCCTGTGCGGGGGGAGAGCGAGGGACGGGCTGGGCGAGGGGGGGGTGGAGAAGAGGAGCTCGGCTAGAGGGGGGGGCGTGAGGGCGAAGGGGGTGCTGCGGGGATGTCAGCCTAGGCGGGAGCCTCTGGCTCTTTGCCGCCCGGCCTGAGCTGGGCAAGCGGGGGATGAGTTTGGGGTGGCCGGCGCTCAGCCTGGAGCACAGAGACTCCCCCAAACTGCCCCGCTGCCCAAGGGGCATGGACCCACCAGGAGCTGCGTTCCCGGACAGCCGTGAGGGGTCAGAACCCCTGAGCAGAACCGGGCCCTGTAACCCCGATCTAGGCTGTAACCCCTCTGTACCCTGCACACACACAGGGCTGGAACTGGAGGGGCTGCCACACCCCAGGCTTGAAGGGGGGGCGCAGCATGGTCGCAGCGTGGCTGGAGGAGCCATGGTCAGGGGGATGCAGCGTGGCTGGAGGAGCCGGGGGGGGGGGCAGAGCGGCCGGAGGAGGAGCCATGGGGGGCGTGGCCAGAGGAGGAGCCAAAGGGGGGCGCCTTTTTAATGTTTGCTCCCCCTGCTCTTAGAACCTGCCTACACCACTGGGTGGAGAGGCTCCTTCTTTAGCCAGCTGAAGACAAAATGGAGGGGTCTCCCATGGGTTTAAATAGACTTTCTCTTGTGGGTGGAGACCCCCCCTCCTCACTCCTATGCAAAGTCCAGCTCCAAGATGGAGTTCTGGAGTCACCTGGGCAAGTCACATGTCCCTGCAAGACTCAGTCTTTACAGTCCGAAGCCATTGCCCACACATAGGCGTGCGCAGGGGGTGTGCCCGTGCCCACTCTAATGCAGGGCAGTCAGAGCTGTGGGGGGCGGGGCTGCGTGTATGGCTCCATGCTGAGCCAGACGCTGCTAGGAGCCTGAGGGGGGTTGGACAAGGGGCGGGGGCAGTCGGGGGACAGGGAGCAGGGTGGGTTGGGCCGGGGGGTGGGATGCTCTCACCTCGGGGGCAGCTCCCCACCGTCCCTGCGTGCAGGGAGAGTCTCAGCAGAGGCAACGCTGCCCACTGCCTCCCTCCCAGCGCTGACCCAGTTCCCATCCCATTGACCAGGAACCCCGGCCAATGGGAGCTGTGGGGGGGCGGTGCTAGAGTCCCTGACCGCACACCCCCAGCAGGGAGGGGGAGGGAGCTGCTCCAGCTCGTCTTGCTCAGCCTGTCCCGCCTCCCGGGGCTGAGCCACCTGGGACCAGTGCAGGGGCCGGGTCATTCTCGACCAGCATGGGGGGGAGGGCTCGTCTGGGCCCCAGGCAAGGGGGCTCTAGCACTCCCCCCTCCCACTCTGATTCCCCCACCAACCCCAGCTGTGACACTGACTCAGCCCAGTCAAGGCAAATAG